CCTTTCCCCTTCCTCCTTTCCCCTTTCCCTTCCCTTCCCTCCCACAATGATATGCCACAGACACTTTCCTCTGGTATAACATATAGACAGAAGTCAACAGTAATATATCACCATTGCATTTCATATTTTTGAAAGAATATAAATTTCCAAAGCATGGAGTAAAAGAAATGTAATATTTAGTGCAAAACTTAGATAAACATCATGTTATTGAGCATGCAGTACTGAATATCTTGTTAATATGTTTTGTTCCTTCTTCTGTATATCTTTATGCATATGTTGTAACACAACTCCTACAGCAATTAGGCATTTTTGGACACCAATGTTATGATCGTGTACTGTCAGATTTCTAGATATAGCTTCTTTATGAGGCTTGAGGGTCAGAATCCATGCTTTGCATGCTGTTAATTTCTGCTGCAAGATGTTTCTGAATTATTGGAGGAACTGACTTTTGTTCCATAGTGACCAGGGTGCTTTTGCTTGGTGATGCTTGTGCTATGACTGACATGGAAGTTCCTCATAAACTCCTGCTTCTTTGGCATGCCATAGGTTGGGCCACATGCTCCCATAGGGGTTGCAGATTATCTGTGACTGGTGAATACTTGCAACTTAAAAACTATGATTTAAAGAAAAAATTTACCAAACTCTTGAGGTTGAGGTTGTTTTGTTTAATTTTTTTTATTTCTGTGTAGTATAAGTTCCCCTCTTTGGCATGTAGTCCAATTCCTTAATATTCAGGTAGTTAATAAGTTTTGCACACTTTAGTTAAAAGATAATGGGGCAGTTTTTTAATTTTACATTTGCTACACCATCTTGTCTGTCTCTCCTCCTGACTGGCAGCTTGTAGGAATAGCAGGACAACTTTAGGTTGGTGCTGCAGACATGCCTGGTCTACATACTGTGCAGAGAGCAGTGAAGATCAGTTGAGTTTCTGCCATGTTTTGCTCTGTGCCATGGCTAAATTGCCACCACTGGACATTTAGATATAGCCTGAGGGCAACATGCAACTAACTCAAACTAGCAAAAAGATTGTAGAATGAATAGGAAGGCATGATGTTCTGTTTTTACTGAACTGAAGGAAATGTTAGTTTTTATATGTGAGCTGAGAAAGTCTACCCTGAGAAAATGCGAGAAAACATCAAATTCCTCACACACCTGTTACAGTCAGAAACATTCACTATTTTCATAATGACAAGAAACAACAAATCCCTAGTGGAAGTTTATGGTAGCACCAGTACTTGAAGCAGAAAGACTTAAAATGTTTAACTCATTTATGTTCACTGGGAGAATCTAGTCCCTTAGGAAAGACTACAGAGAAGTAATGGTGAGGCCACAGTTGGAGTTTTGGATCCTCTTCTGGGCTCCTCAATACAAGGGAGATATGAACATATAAGAGAAAGTCTGACAAAGGGCCAAGGGGATGATGAAGAAACATTCCTTGGATGTTCACATGTAGGCTTATGGCTCAGGAGAGATATGATCTTTTCCCAGCTCTGTGAAATGTGTCCTCTGGGATCTCAGGCAAATCACTCAGGGCTGTGCTTCTCCACACAATCTGTGGAAGATGCCAGGGTCCCTCAGCCAAGGATGAAAGAGAGTCAATTTTGCTTATTGCTCATTTGAAATTGGTTCATGGAACTTGGGTATGCTCCTTTCTAGGTCTGACTACTCCACTTCCAGTGCAGGTTTCTGCAAAGGCACCACAAGGCCACAGAGGGCCATAGGAACCATTCCTATAGGAACATGTATGGATTAATCCTTGCCTGTCCTTATGGAGCAACCACTGCTAAGCAGAACATAGCCCTAAGATATTTTCCAGAATTAACATCAAAATATTTTTCAAAAAGAAATTTAATGAGATGACACCCACCCTCTGAGATAAAATCATTCTATATTACCTCCCTCCCTGCTCACTCCCTTCCTCTCTGGCATGATTTCAGCAGCTAATATCTGTATAAATTATATGAGCCAAACCTTAGCAGTGATGCCTCTTAATACCAGGTGAGAATGAAATGTTAGTGCCTTCTCAGTTTGAAAATAGCGGTAATGAAATTTCGCATGGCAGATAGCTTTGGACTGGATGGAAAACATTTGGTAGATTAAGAGACAGCTAAAATCTTTCTGAAACTGAATTGGATGGGGAAGGACCAAATGAATGTGAGATGCTTAAAGAACCAAGTGTTGTTGCAGGGACTAGTAAGTGGGCAGGAACAAAAAGATCCAGACAATTCCCATCATCACTAAAGGCAGATTTTGACCAATTTTCTAGGGCATGCAGTGCAAACAGGGATTGAATGCTGACCCAGAAGCTGTCTCTGAAGAGACAGCAGTAAGGCATATTAAAATCTTTGAATGAAAAGTGCTTTGTATACTTTGGAAAAGTATAGTTTTATTTTAGTTGTATAATAAATATTACTATCATTTTATTATTAATTTTTTGAGGATTATGCAAAAATATTAGCTGCTTATCTGAAAATTGTATCCCACTTGCAGTATGTTACCCATGCTAAACACTCACAGTGCCTCGGCATTCTGTTGCTGGGACTGAAAACGAATTAGCCAAAATTGTATGTGGCACCACAATTTTGGTGGAAATTTCCCTCCTTGTTTTGATTTTAGTATGTTGTGTTTCAAAACTACGTAATTTTTTTTTTCATTTAAGGCTGAATTTCGTTCCTTTGGAGGGATGATTTATTATAAGTGGCTGTGAAAAGATGTTAGAAGAGCAAACAGTCCCTTGGGAACAAAGAGTCACAAGATAGAAAAACAGCTGTTGAGACTATAACCCACTCTTATGTGCCAATACACAGCAGCAATATTCAAAATAGGAAAAGAAGGCCAGTATCTTCTTTGGGAAAAAAAAACAACCCTGCACCAAACTGAACAAAGATGTAAACATATAAAAAATTAGCAGATGGATCTGAGCTGTACAAAACACTGGAAGAGAAGGAGAAATTGCCATGTGTGGGAGGAGGTGAAAATGTAGATGAAGCTTCTGTTATATCTTGGGAATCAGAATAAATCAGAACTATTTGAGAAAGTGCAGTGACAGTTAAACTGGGTAGCTGTGGAGCACTAAATTTATTGTCAATGTTAGCAGTGGGAGAACCAAATCATTCACTGATGTATATCAGGCTCCTTGAAGGCAATGATGCTAGTGTGGACTGCTTAACTTCATGATTTCCCTACGATTCTGAGAGTGATAAAATTGCTTATACATATTTTAGATTACTTTGCAATATATAACTTCACACCAATAAAGTATTTTGGTGCAGTCTGTTCCAGGTGATATAATCAGGATAATCTATAGATAACTGTAATCCATGGTTATAGCTCAGCTCACTATCAGAAAACTCTGAAATGCATTTAAAAATGGATCTTCTGTTAGAATGACTATTTGCAAGTTTTTTGGCAACAACATCTGACAAGAAAGGACTGTATCTCCCTCACCTTGGAATAATCCTGAACATTTAAATTAGTTAAAAACAGTAGGAAACTTTAATTAAAATAAGTAGAATAATTTTTGACATTAAATAGTTGAGGAACCAATAAAAAAGGCCAGACTTTATTTCCTCAGTCAAATATAATTTTCTTCTGGAGCAGACTGCATTTGACCTTTCAAGAATTTGCCTTATTGCCAAAGAAGCATGTTGGTGGAGGTGGGAGAGAGAAAAGTAGCAGAGGAAGGGACAGTTTTACTCACATAAACTCCTAGAAAATGGATGAACCACTGGGAATTGTGTGCGTGTGTCACTGTCTGCTGCTAATCCTTGGATGCTTTAGAACAGATCCAGAGAAGGGCCACAAAAATGATCAGAGAGCTGGAGCACCTCCTTTGTGAAGACAGGCTGAGAGTTGGGGAGGTTCAGCCTGGAGAAGAGAAGGCTCCAGGGAGACTTTACAGCAGCTGTCCAGTACCTAAAGGGGGACCACAAGAAAGATGGCCACAGACTTTTTACTAGAGCCTGTAGTAAAAGGGCAAAGGCTAACATTTTTAAACCAAAAGAGGACAGATTCAGATTTGATATAAAGAAGAAATTTTTTTATGATGAGTGTGGTGAATCTCTGAAACAAATTTCCCAAAGAAGTTGTGAATGCTCAGATATTGGAGGTGTTCAAGACCAGGTGGAAAGAGGCTTTGAAAAACTCGATCCAGTGAAAGATGTCCCTGCCCACATCAGGGAGGTTGGACCAGATGACCTTCGAAGTTCCCCTCCAAATGAAAACATTTTGTGATTCCACAATTTTGTGATTCTAAGCCAGAGGAACTCTAAAGGTGTTGTAATTCATACCAAGTGCTAAACCAAAGCTAATGCATACCCCAGTAATCTTGCTTCCAGATCTCTGCTTAACACCCTTGGGACCAAAGAGTTTCCACACTCTACACTTGCTGTTAAAACTAGGGAGGGACCAATCCTAGCACCACAATCCCCTAATGACAGTGTCACCCTTAAATACCCCTAGGTCTCCTAACTAGCTCATGGAGGCAATTGTAACTAAACCCATGATTTATGCAAGACAATGCTGATGTCACAAATAATTTGAGATCTCAGTCACAAAATATTAGCCTGGTTTCTCTATGGCCTACTGTAATTTTACATCAGTGGAATTTGGTTGATACCATTGGAATTAGTCTAATTTGGTATAATAAAGGCAAGAGTAAAGAAAATAACTGTTACTTTATTTTTATATAAGGAATCCACCTTTATTACAGCTCTAATTTATTTAAGAATTGAATAGCCTGCACTCATGGACTACCCCTCAAAACCTGGAGACTTGTTTTCTGGAATCATTTGCACTCTGTAGTGCCTTTTCAAAGCCCTCTTTTCTCCCAGCTCTGCCTTTCCTCGAGTTTTCCCAGGCTGATCAATCATCAGATACTCTGCTCTGCAGGTAGCTCTTTTCAACTCCAGCTCCACAGTGAATACAGAAAGAGGATGCTTAATAAACTTTCCTTTGTGCCACTCACAAGAAGTCCAATTCATATTGTTGTTAAATGAAAAGCTTATCTCCCACCACAAATGTCCTTTAAACAAATATGCAGAAATACTCTGTATTTAAATTTTGTGATTTCATCCTAAGGCTGCAGCTGTGGCATCTAAAATGTAGTTTTTTATCAATAACATGCAAGGTCACAAAGCAGGGAACTGAGGCATCCCTTGAATGAGGCATCCCTTGAACTCATTGACTTCCAGGTCAACATAACTTTGAGCAAATCCAGGACCAAGAAATGCTTCTTGGCTGCTGCTCTCCCCTTTGTTTGATCTGAGAATGCTAAACTCAGGGGAGTAGCTGAATGAAATGGTTGTTTTTCTATAAATAATTCATAACTTTCCAAACAGCTTTCTTCAAATACAAAAAAATATGTTTTTTACTGAGGGATTCCCTTTAAATTTTTAAAACCCATTTTTCTTTTTCAGAAATTAGAAAGAGAGATCAGTTAAGCCAGGGGTGGGGGGTGGTTTACTTGTCTGTTTCTGTGATGGCTGAAAAATTGTATGGATCTTGATCTTTCCTCACACACATATCACTTTGGAACAGACCTTGATCTTATTTCACACAAGTGTAGCTATACAGACTTTGATGACAGTCTCTTGCTAATTATGTCACTGAAATGTAAGAGATTCACTGTACCATTTTGCTCATACATAACAGCTTAAACAGATTTTCTTCTAACACTTGTAAAAGCAAATTCTAGGTAATGTACCAAAATCAAAATGAAATTCAGAACTAGGTATTCAGGAAAGCTACAATACACTGAAAAAAGGAATTTTTAATAAAACGCATCTCTTTTCAACTAAAACACCAACCCTGTCAGACTGGATACATCAAGAACCTTATTTGTGGGAAGTTTCCCATGAAGACATATTGCTTCTCAATGGGAAATATTTCCAGTGAATTTCCAAAAAGTAGAAATTATCCCTGGTATTGATGGAGTTTTGGGTTTTTTAAAAATCAGTTTTACAGTCAGCTCAGGATCTTATTTGAAGAGAGCTACAAGCTGATAGTACAAATGATAAAACCAAATCAAACAGTTCTACTTAGTATGATGAGGGTAAATCTGTCTACTTAGGAAGCTGAAATGTTGGTCATGTTAATGGTGGAAAAAAATTTACTACTATTTTTGCTGTTATCATTCTTGGCTTGAAGTTAGGGATGCTGCAACTCCCACACTTCAGCAAGACAACTTTGAGAAGTATATTCTAATAGCAAGTTGATACAGTTTAGAATTAATTGTCAATAAATCAGACTGCTTTTCTGAAAACCTGGAAATATACATTCAAGATGTTAGTGACTGCCTAATCTTAAATGCATCCATTCTGAAATTATGTGACTTGTATCCTCCTACACAAAGAAATTTTATGGCTAAATAAATTTAGAAATGCATTCCTAGAAGTTTTATATGCACATTTAATCTTTCTTTTATATATTTTCTTTTTCTTTTAGTAAGTGGTGGAGTAAACAACACTTTCCTTTGGATGGATTATAGTACATGTGAACTGCCTGTTACTCTGCAAGAATAAAAAAAGCCCTTTGCTTTTACTTGTTAAATATCAGCTCGATAGCAAAAAGCATCTGAATGGCTTGTGCTCTCAGCGGACCATCAGTTGAATGGGATCAGCACTTCTACTAAAATATCTGAAGTTAAGGATTTGGAAAAGAGGTTTTTGCAGAGATGACCCATTTACAAGCTGGACTTAGTCCAGAGACTATAGAGAAAGCCCGCCTGGAACTGAATGAAAACCCAGACATTTTGCACCAGGATATCCAGCAAGTCAGAGACATGATCATCACGAGGCCTGACATTGGGTTTTTACGTACAGATGATGCCTTCATCTTGAGATTTCTCCGAGCCAGAAAGTTTCACCAAACTGAGGCCTTCAGACTGCTGGCTCAGTACTTCCAATACCGCCAATTAAATCTGGATATGTTCAAAAACTTCAAGGCTGATGATCCAGGAATCAAACGGGCTCTGACAGACGGGTTTCCAGGAGTACTGGAAAATCGCGACCACTGTGGCAGGAAGATTCTTCTGCTTTTTGCAGCCAACTGGGATCAGAGTAGGTAAATGTAGATAGTGTCCTTATCTTTTTACACATACTCACACACAACTTGTAATGGAATATTTGTGGCTATCTTTGAAGCAGCAAGGCCATTTTCAGCAAAATAATTTGTAATCATATCTCCATTACACTAGAACTTCCATCTCATTTGATCACCTGTCAATCCTCATTCCTAGGACACAGGGCCATTGAGAGTTAAGGCTATATCAGTGTGTCATATAAGTATCTCATGTCCAGTTTTTTTTTTTAAGAAATATTTCCAAATTTTAGCCAGATAATGTATTTTTGCTACATGTACATTAATATCTATCATACAATTACTTCAGCTGTATCATGGACCAGCCAAACAGGTTGACAGAAAGTGTCTCAAAACATATGGAGATTCTTGTAGATCTCCTGGTGCAGAAGAAACTGTCAGTATTTATTCTATCTTCAGACTTTCTGACAGATTGCTTGTTTGTTTGTTTGTTTGTTTGAACCACTTTGGGAATTGCAGCCTCTGCTCTATTTCCACAAACTGTGCTGAGATTTCTACACACTCTGGTGGCTCTGTGTTGTTAGTCTGATAAATGGGAGATTCACACGAAGCATATTTTATGTTCAGGGCATTTATTTACAGACTGGTATGAACAAAGATATCTCCTAGCCATTTTTATAAAAAAATGTCCTTAAATGTTAATGTGATTAGTCAGCTTTCACTATTTGAAGTGGTACAGAGAAAAGGGGCTAGTCCAGGAATATCATGTTCACATTGTCCTCATCTTTGTAAGTTATTCCATTCCATTTTCCCTGACTTCATGGTGAGATGGAGAAGTGTAATCAGTTGTAGGGTAACCATGTGTTCTGTTTAATCTTGATAAATACCATATGAAAGAATAAAATTCATATTCAGGTTTTAAGTACCATCAGTTTGGATGATTTCCAGGTAGGATTTTGTCTTGTTATGGTCCAAAGTTTTTGATGAAAAAGTCTTATCCTTAGGAATCAATAGACTGGAGCTTTGATTTTACATCATAGAAATGATTAGAGAAAAATACACATAACACCTGCAATTTTTCATGTAATAAGTTTTCTGGGAAAACCTTTCATTGCCATGTGAAAAGCAGAGTTCAGAAATGTTTCTGATTTTCATTTGCATGTGAATAAATGTACAGAAAGCAATACAGCAGTGTAACTTTGCATAATCAAACATGTTTAGTGAAATGGTGAACTGAGGGCAGTAATAAAAGTCCTATTAAATACAAATAGGCCAGCAGTTTACCTCCTGTCTCTTTGAACTGCAAGTTTGCCTTTCTTTCAACCACAAAACTCTTCTGTTAGCAATTGTCCTGAAAAGAAAGATGAATGCACAGGTATCTGGAATTAATAGAAAGCATCAGCTTTAGAGGACAGAAGCACAGTGGAACTGCTGGTTGCATTAAGGGATTTAGGTATTACATGGAGCCAACTTTGGATTTCTGATCCCTAAACAAAATGAATCTTTGTGATTAACCTGGTACATCAGGTCCTGCTCTTGGAGAGCTGAGAGTGCTGGTGTCTAAGGCTCTTGCAATGAATTTTTGACAGAATAATGACTCCTGCCAGATTTTGGCTCATATTTTCTGCATCCATGAGTGTGTGTGTGTGTGTGTGTGTGTGTGTATGTGTGTGTGCATGTCATTGTGTAAAAACCAAAGCAACCCTGCATATTTCTGAAAATATATTTTTAACTTTCAAAAAGAAAAGCTGAAGCAAATAGCACAGGATGTACCTTTCTAAGAATTCTCAGTGACATTAAAAATCATGTGCAAATTTTACCTCAGTTCAGCCTCATATCTTCTGTGGATTCAGATAACAATAAGTGTTTTTTGAAAAAGTGGGATTTTGTGGCACTCCAGATGCAACAGGAGTTTGGGACAGGATTTGAGCTCTAGGTAAATAGATGTTCTCATCTTTTTTTGCTGTCTAAAGACATTAACAAGAGGAAAAGCTGTTAAGGAGAAGGAAATGGTGAGTGCAATGTCCTATTAAGCAGCATGGGGGCAGGATATTGACCAGAAGAAACACAAATTTTACAAAGAAGTTCAAAAAGGCATTGTGCACATCTTACATAAATGTATCTTGGGCAACCTTTCTGAAGATGTGTCTTTGGTAAAGGCAAGATGTTCAGAAGATCACATTTCACCTGAGTGCTAATGGAAGCGGCCGTGATGTTGACATGCATGAGTAAGAACTCACCCTTCAGCCTGTGCTTCCTAACTTTAATCCCATTTGCCATTGGCTGTGCCTTCCCTTTTTTATGATCAGATTCTAATTTATGAGGGGTTGTTTATAAAAAAAATAACAATTGTTAAAGGGTCTGTTAAAATCAGAATAGCTATAATACATATATTGGTTTTCAGTCCAGACAGCCTTACCATTTATGCACCTGGGAGTATGGTTGCTGTTGGCATATGTCAAATAGGCTGAAGAAACCTCAAAACTTTCTGTGCTTATAAATATATTGATTTTTAACAGGAAATGTCATTATTTGTGTAATATGACTGCTTGGACAAATCAGATCCAAGATGTTTCTAAGGATTCGCTGTATCAAAGATAGTATTTCCATGTTAATTTCTAAAAACATTTGTAATTTCAGCCAGCAGAATGCAACTGATAGACCTGACATTTCTAGCAAACTAGGTTTTAATTTCCAGTCTCAATGTTTCCAGCTTCAGATTCAAGCTGCTAGATCATGTTTGTTTAAATGCACCACAAAAACATCTTCCCATGTTTGTACTTTTGTGTCCTGACCACGTCACATTTAACCTATTTTTGAATTCACTGGGGAGGCAGCACTTTAGGGTAAGTCACTGTCAGGCAGTACAAAGATACTGCATTAGTGACTCTGCAGCAGAAGTTCTTGTGTTCGCCTTCAGCCATGGGAAAAGTAAAACAGCTAACACCCTTGTCCTCAAGGGAAAAAACAACTGTGTGCTGTCCACAAGGTAAAGAACACACCTCTGAGCAGCCAGCACAGCAAAAATAATGTTCTGCAAAGCAATCCACTAGCTTAGTGTATCACAATACATTTAAGATGCCCAAACTTAAACAGTTTTAACTTCTTTACTTTCAGAATTGGGGAGATTTTCCAGTTTAAAAATACTCTTCATCCTTCTTTTCTGGACTGTTCCTGTCTTTTTAGTATTGTTGCTAAGGTTCTTGTAGATGAACTGAATAACAATTACACTAATAAATCACTGAGCGATAGTCCTATCTCATCTGTTCAGTAGTTTCTTCCTCTTAGATACACTCTGTTCTTAACTACTCTATCCCATTTTGAGCAAATGTTCAGCTCAAATTTGCTTTCAAGTCAGTTTCCTAAAATACAAATGCCACTGGTAAATGTGTCATACATTCTCATCTATAATGTGGGCACAGTCTCGCATGTGATTCACGCTCTTGTGCAGAGCTAAACATGTCCTGCTCTTCAGTTATCATTTCAAGGGTTTTTTGACATCTGCAAAGCTCATTGGCAAGGATTTTATTTTTGTTTCCATATAAAAAAAAATAATGATGATTGTTTTGACCAAAACATCTTTGATGACAGGGAAAAAACCACAGGGGATGATAATTCTTATCGCCAAATCACTAGCTGAGATCTATCACGGTTCCAGAGTTAGACTAATTTAGCATCTTCTGCATAGATTTGATTTCTCTCCATTGTTCAGGCAGATTTCTTAGAGATTATGTCATCACTTTCTCTCTAGGTCCTGCATAGTATATTTTGTATCTGTTAGTTAAAGTTAATCACATATTCAACACCTTCATTTTCACTTATTCAATACCAAATAAATTAAAATGAGCAGATGAATAGGAAAGAAAGAGATCAGATAAGTTCCATAGTGAGGGAGATAAAAAACCTGTTGAGCTATATTACTGTACACTAGTGCAGGGGAGGAACATTTTTCACTTACATCAGAACTCAAGGTGTGAACCCACCTGAAACCCAAAAAAACTTTACTTACACCACTGCTTGCAGAGCACCTTATTTGGAATGCAAATTTGTGCAGCAGTGAAGACACATAAGGATGCCAAACAGATCATGTAATGATTTTTTAAATTAAATAATTTACATGATAAAAAATTCTGGTTTGTAAAATGAACAAATGCATACACATAGTTTTAATGAGAATTCACGTAAAAAACAATGTTCCATGTGCTGGAATACAAATACTCTTTCTCCCACTTTTTCATTTCATCACTCTTACCAAATCTAAGTCCTCACTCCTCTGTCCATTGGTAGTGAATCTGAAGCTTTTAAAGAAGTTAGGTAAGAGGGTCTTCTCAGCTGCTGGATAGAGGAAAGCCTTCAGTAACTTCCACAGCTGTTCCTATATATGCTACTGTCTTCTAATACAAGCTGCTTATACACCAAGGAGATGGAGCTTTGGGTGAACAAGTAATTCAGCAGAAGGTGTTCATTAATCTTCCAAGCAAAAGTGATTCTTTCAGCCAATGTAAAATTTATTTTTGTGTAGAAAGCCAGAAGAAGGACTCCAAACACAATCCTCTGCAAACAGGGCTTGGGGTAGGGAGCAGAAGGTTTTTAATAGTTTTTTTCCAATAAGATGGTAGTTATTTTCTGTCTTTATGTCTGTGCCCTAGAAGCTGTCACATAGCTCCAAAAATTCTGTGAGTCAGACAAAGAAAACCTGCTGCTTTGTGTACAGCATACAATTCTAACTCAACTGCTAGCCATAAACCATCTTTTATTACCCAGGGAATCTCAAATGCCAGATATTTACCATTCTGTAGGACAGGCTAAAGGGAAAGGAAATATTCTGACACATAGAGGTAAACCAACAACTATGAATATTTTAAAGGATCATGATAAAAGCCAAGTGTGTCCTTCCTGAGAATGCTCAAAGTGGTGTAATTACAAGGATATTACCATCATCAGATCCTGTTGATATAAAAGAATACATCTCAAGTGATGATTGTTTTAATTGTTCTAATATATTTCAAGCATAGCCTCAGGTG